TAGGGGTGCTCCGATCAGGATTTTTGAGGCCGATCACAGAAAGCAGTATCTGCCGATACAGATACTGATCTTTTTATAATTTATACCTATTTATAGTGATACTCCAATCAGGATTTTTAGACATTTATTCAGGGCCTGAACTTCATTTTTGAAAATGGGGGGAATTAGGTGACTTGTGAGAAGGGAAGCAGCTTTCACACAGAAGTCCGTTACTGATCCGTGGCTGTTTACCACAAACACAACATTTATCCATTATTTTGATTTCAAATCCAAACATTGTCACTGAAAATGCTTTTTCAGCATTGCAATTCTTTTTTTACACAGTAGAGTAATACAATCTTTCACAGACATGTTTAAACACAATAAATATAAGCAACACATTATTCAATGCTTTTTATTTTTACATTTACTTAGATTCATATATTAAGTTGCTCAAGCAAGTGGCAAAACATTTAAACTTACTTTTCTTACGTTATCACAAACTTACCATTGACAGAAATAGTCAGCTGAGCTCTACTGCCTTTTCTTGTGCATTTAAATCTTTATTACAAGCAATCCTGCAGTTCATAAAGAACTTTGTTTTCCTACCTCCACAAGTGCCATCTATAATTGCCTTGTTTATCTAAAAGTGCTCTTTCCCTTTAAACCTAGCCAAAAAGACATGTGTGTCGACTGTGAAACAGTAGACTTTAATAATATGCATTTATGGTGTAATTACTACATTTTCGTGTCAATCCATGTTCATATTTTCTGCAAACAATGCACTGTTACTTGAATTCTTCTGCAATAGACTGCAGAAACGATCTCTGCACTGCTGCAGATGCACCGCTACTGGAACGCACTGCCGGGTGCAGTGTGAGCGCTTTAATTCGTTAACATGAGCACGGAAAAAATACGCACCACGTTTGCACTGCAAAAGTTATGCGTGTACGCTGCGAGTGTGCATGAGCGTATGGTCTCCAGGAGAGCGTGCGAGCGCTGAATGGTTAAATACTGGTAAGAATTTAAAAGTAATGCAATTTATAAACTTTAGTGACGATGTGACACTGCCTCGATTGTGCAAGTGACAATTCCTGTGTAAACAGTGCAGCGTGCACTGCAGGACGCTTATAGACAGACGCAATGTGTGGTGATTTGAAACCATTTGTGTATTTTGAGAGAGAAAGAGAGAGAGCGCGCGCGGTGATTCACTCACTTTGTTTAAGAAATTACATCTCACACAAGGTTTTCAAATTACTTTATAAGTTATTTAATTAAGAAATATGAAGGTGAGTACCTGACCTTCAGCATTATAATTATTTCACCCGCGCCGGACTGAGACGGTGCCACTGCATGTCATGCCAAACCTCTCACGGCAGTGTCATCAGCTTGAGATCGGTTTTTTGAGATCAACCTTTTTAGAGACCGCCGATCAATCATCCCAAAGTGATTATCGGCCGATAGTGATCGGTAGCCAATCAATCGGAGCACCACTAATACAGACTTCTTGTGCATGATTACAGGGCTGCACAATGTGGCAAAAATTGCTATTATTACAGAAAAAAAAAATTGTGCAAGAAAATACATAAAAATACACATCTGCTGGCTGTCTGACACCATCATGTTTCATTTTGTCATGAGTCATGTAGGGCTGGGCGATATGTCAAAAATATCTTATCGATAATCGCCTTTAAAAATATCACGATATCTGATAATATTGTCTATGTAAGCCCCACCTCCACCACGCCCCGCCCCCACCGAGACAACATTGCCGACATGCACCATAAACACACACCATGTTCAGTTTGGTCTTAATTATTGCCACAAAGTTTGGTTTTGGTTAAACTAACAGAAAACATTAGCTTTGTTGTTATTTTGGTGTTGCTAATAATTTCCACTCTGTTATTATCAAATTTGTGTTTGAAATGAATTTCGTTTTGTGAGGAGAACTGTTGAGGATAAAATAATAGAACCCAATTTTAAGTTCATCATGGTGAAGTTGGACATTCTGGCGGAAGAATGATAAATGCATGTTGATGTCATATAACATTGTCTTGAATAAAATATGCCTATTTTCCGATGTTTCTCTTTCTTTTTGGCATTATCGCCTGTGTAGACATTTCATGATGGCAAGTTTAATTTCCTTAATTATAACAATTGCAGCGCTGTTTTTGAACTTGTAGTCAAGCTATAACGGATTTGATATTTATCATGTATGACTAAAATCATGCAGGGATTAAAAATTAGTTCTGAGCAAAAACGTTAAGGTTTTTTTCTTTCTTTCTTTCTGGTAGCCTACTAGTTCGGAGGTCTCTTTTGGCCCATTTTTAATGAAATAAAAACAACTGCTTTATTTATTTAGAAGCAGCGTAATGTAAATTTCATTTTTGTATTGTAATTTTTATAATTTTTATTTTATTTATCAAAATACAACGCCCACAAAATAATATTCAGTGTTGGGCTGCCGAATCTCCGAACGCATGCATGTTGAGGGGCAAGCTGAGAGATAGTACTATAATGCCTTCAGCCGTTTGCTACAAAACTTTATAGTTTTCTTGCAAATGAATTAAGAATTTATAGTGCTATATCTCAGCTTAATTAAACACAAGATCAGTGAGGGATTTTCATTTCTTTCGTTCTTTAAATTAACATTAATGACCGGAGGCAGCGGCTGCTGTCAATGCACGGATCCAATACACCCTTGTTTTCCCGATAGTGTCGAGACATCGTCGATATACAATAATATCGTCATATCGCCCAGCCCTAGAGTCATGACTGACAATGTTATTGTACATGTTCAAACTTCGAGTGATGGGCAGTTCTGTCCACACATTCACAGCTCCAGTCCTTTATAAAGTGTGAAGTGTTTCAGATGCCAGGCATGCCTAAAGGGAGACTGTCATTTATTAATTCAAGCTGGAGAGATGCCAACAGTCTCAGCACACACACACAAAAAAGTGGTTTGTTCCTGGATGCAGTAAGACACATGCTTCACATCACAAAAGAAACGGCATGCTACATCGCATTTGTAGCATAAACATAAACGGGTCCTAATACACCTCAAATAACTTTGGGACCACCTACACACATACCAACTGCTTTTAAACTTGCTAGTTATATACGAACAAAACAACCGTTTGAACAGTCAGAAGTGGTGACAGGAGATACATTTAAGGTGCATGTTAATACCAGCTTTAAACCACACTCGAGTCAAGAGTGTGCATACTGTTAGTGATCACCCCTCACAAGCAGATGATGTGTGAACCTGTACATGCGTGCGTATCTGTGTGGGTGAGATGTGTCTTTACCTCTTCTGTCTCCTGCTTTACCTGTTCATCATCCTCCACTACCACCAGGGTGAGTTTGCTTTTCTTAAAGTCCAGACGCGTGATCTTGGGCCTGTGCAGACAACCAGTTTGCTTTAGATAAAATGACCATTGACATTACATGCATCTCAGAATATTTTACTTAATTAAACGCATTCAATGAGGATTTAACATTGTTTATCAGCAAAACAGGGTAACTGCAAGTTTAAAACACTCAAGACATGTTTTATTTAAATGTATTGAAATTGGTTTATGTACCAATATCTCAATAATAATGTGTTTAAAGAAAGACAGATTACAGATTATTGTGGTAATACTAGTAACATCTATACACTGAATGTGTTAAATAATGTTTTTTAGTATTTCCTGTGACAGGGCAGTCCAGAGAGAGGAGACAAGAGTTTGTGTTAAATTAAATGTCAGACATATTATATTGCATAGCCAAAATAACAATAATAACAAGAAAAAAATATTTAATGCATAATGTGGGATTTTTAATTCTAAACAAACCTGAAATACTCTGATACTCTTATTTGAAATGTATCTGCTTTATTACTTCCAACAGATGAGGGAGATCACATTAAGCCATTTGATAGTAACTGCTTTTCTGTCTCAAAATTTAAGACTTTTTTTATACCATGTAATATATTTAAGACTTTTTATTACTTTACATTTTATAAAACTGAATTTAAGACTCAAGGACCCACAGGAACCAGTTTTTTTTTTTATGTTAAAAATCACTCATTTTTTTCGTATTATTTTTTCTGAAAATGTAAAATGTATTTATTTTTGGGGGTTTTTCACAATTCCTTTTTTGTAGCTGCTAGTGATGCAGAAAATTACACACTTCAGCTGTAAAGAGCTGGTGAGGGAGTACTTACCAGAAGAACAGGCCAATTTTAGTTTCCCCCTCAAACACGAGCACTCCGGTGGGGGTCAAACCTAGGCTGTATTCATTTCCGTCCCGTGCCTGGAGGATTGCGGTAACAAAGAACAGATAAGTTTCCGGATAAATACCCAGACCAAAGAGAGTCCTCCTCAAAACCTTGATTTTAACAAACTTGCATGCTTCAAATGCATACCTTGACCATATGCATGTCCACCCCATACATCTCCAGCCATTTGGCCTTATTCAGGTAGTTTATCTCAGCTTGTGCTGGCATCTGGCCCCTGCGACATCACCAAAAAACAGGGTAAAGCAAAATCTAAAGAAAATAAAACAACCCAAGCTGCTGCACATCTGCTGCAGATTACAACATGTCGAGGTTACAGTAATGGGTCGTAAATCACATACAAAGTGTTCAGGGTCAATAGCAGAGCTTTGGTTGAGTAGACAGGAGAGATCCAAGAAGGTGGGTCAGAGGTGATGACCCACACATTGACATTCATTCACCTGCTTTACGTTTATATTTCCTCTCTAAGCGCTTACTTAAAAGGAGTCGTCATGTGCAGATAGAAGGTATGTTTTTATAGAATGAGCTCCTTTATTTATACCTGCACTCCTTCCATGCATTGTAGATGCCTGCTTCCATTTCTTCCGTCTGGTCTGAGATGAAGCGGAATTCTGACACCAGGTCAAGTCCGTGTTCAGCAGGGTCACAATCACCCAATTCAGCTGAAAAATAAAGGTTCCACAGGTCAACAAAAAAGTGGCATTCAAAAGTGTCAGTAATTCATTTTTTCTGGTATAAAAATGTGAGTTATCAGGACTGAATGCTCCATAATGGCCTGAACTGTACCAGTTTTTGCAGGAAAGTATTGTAACTGGTTGCACCTTTTGTCATAATGTTACAACTCAGTTCAAGTTCTTCCAGCTACGGGTGGTGACATCAGGAAGATTAGAAAGAACGAGGACAAATCATTCTCTCCAACAGATAAAGCATGTCAGAAAAAGACCCTCAAAACTTGATTACATGACTGTTTCCAAAACAGCATTAAAAAGTTTCTAAATAACAGGAGAGTGCTATGCATTTATGTAGAAGATCAGAGCACAGTAGGAAGGAGCCCTTTCTTTCAGACCCCCACTAATGAGATGTCATTTATTTTTGAGAATGAGAGAGAAATGCTTCAAACCGTTGTCCAACCTCTTTCTCTGTGACCCAAAATGTTGCAGAAGTTTGGAACAAGCTAAAAAACTGAATTCTTTGATGTCATGTGACCCCTTCAAATGAAAAGAATGCGTAAATATAGTATAATATACACTACTGTTCCAATGTTTGAAATAAATTGAAACTTTTATTCAGCAAGGACACATTACATTAATCAAAAGTGACAGTAAAGATATTACAATATTTTTCTATCACAAATAAACTCTGTTCTATGAATCGTCATGTTCAAAGCATCCTTAAAAACGTATAACGGTTTCCATTCAAATATGAAGCAGCACAACTAATTTCAACATTGACAATAATAATAAATGTTTCTTCTGCACAAATGATTTCTGAAGGATCATGTGGCATAGAAGACTGAAGCAATGTCTGCTGATAATTCAGCTTGGCCATGACAGGAATAAATTACTTTTTTATATATTTCACATTAGAAATGGTTGCACCCTTTAAAAAAAATTGATCTTGATTTCAAGAACTGGTTCTGAATTGATTTCAGGAAACATACAGTTCTGTCACTTACCCTGTAAAGCATACGAAGCCAACTCCACTGCTGTGTCGAATGGGCACTCTAATCTGGATTAAACATGGTGATCACAGTGTATTTAGACAAAGTCATCAGGGATTTAAGGTTTATAAAAGTGTTTTTTCAAAGCACTTTATTACAGTGAGACATTTATGACAGACTGTGTCAGATGTGAAAGGTTGTTGCATCAACATATCCAAACAACTTCTTTTGGGGCCACTGTATTTTTAAGAATGGGACTGTGTCAATGTAGACTACCTATTGCTCAAAAACACATTTTATGTAGCCAACCTTTAAATAATACACAGACAAATGTCATTCATTTTTAGCATTCAGGACACAATTCAAAATAACTTGCCACTTACTTGCCACTGAGAATGTCCTGCTTTAACTGTAGTACAAAAAGGTATCTACAAGACATAATGAAGATGAAAGAAGTGAGTACAACAGTTGCGTGAATATTAGTAGATTGTTAATGGTATAAACAGGGTGAACCTTGTCAGCTCCTCGTGCAAGTTGTTGGGCTCTGAGGAGTAGAACTTTACTCTCATATGGAGGCAATATGGTGGTCCAACTGAATCAAGGCAAAAGGTAGAGAACATAACAAATACGGTCAGCAAAATGCCTTACTAGAAATGGTTGAGTTTTTAGTGCACAAATATACAGCTTATTGTGGTGTAAAAAAATTATGGCTAAACATTTCAGAAAGGATGTCATGCAAGTGATGAAATACAAAGAGTTTCCATTTCATGGTTCATTATTACCTGCTCTTCACAGAAATAGTTAAGCATTAACCTTATTCAAACAGCTATTTCTGAGAGCACTAAGGATAACTAAAAACATTGCTCTGTTACAAAGACTTATGAGCTGCCTACCTAGATAACACAATGCAAGGCAGCCCACAAGGTTTGGAACAGAGATTCGGAGCAAATAACCACGGTTAATTTTGTGTGGAGTGTTCAAGTGTATTCTATCAGGCCTTTTTACTGCTCCAATAATCAAACCTCTCCAAAACAGCATTTACAAAGAAGTTAGTTCAGTAGTAAGAACAGCATTTTACTTACTTTTGACTTGCTTTTTGATGCTCTTGGTGACATCAAGCCAGTGCTGTAAATGTAAGTAAATTAAACATGTCATATGTTTGGGGATGTGGAGAACCTTAAGTTTGCTGCATATAAAATATTAAAAATATCAATCCCATGGTAGTCCTTTTGATGTTTTTATTCAAGACATTACTAACATTTAGCAACACATCTGGTAAAAAAAAAAAAAAAAAAAAAAAGGAAAAAATTGTTATTCATGAGCCACTTTGGCTGGTGGGCAAAAAGTGTTTTCATACTCTGGTTTGAAAACACCAGAAAAGTCTGTCCCGTCTATTGAGCTGGGCTGCTCTAACGGGGTGATGCATGAACAATGTGGAGGGAGGGAGGGAGGAGACACTCACGATGATGGAAGAATAGAGTGTCTCAATCTCTCCCACACATTCCTCACACGCACTTTCCTCCCTCTTTCTGTTCTACACGTAAGACTCTGCACTAGCCTGAGCTCTGTCTGCTGCTCTTTGCACATTCAACATTTTATTACTCTTAAAGGTACATAGCTGTCTGTCAATAAAGAAAGTTTATCAGAATGCGAGTACTGAAGTTCTTTTTAATAAGTTGAACAGACGTTATTAAATAACCATAGCTAATACTGAAAAAGGAATAATCAGAAAAGTTAAAGCAAATTAAGCTGCAAAGTAAAATGAAAAAAAAAAAAGATTGAGGTAAAAGCTCCTGATTTTTATTGACTGTGTAGTAACAATGTGTCTACAATGCAAGTTGGCCAAACCTTGAATGCACCAAATTAGGGCTGTGCGATTAATCGAAATTGAAATCGCGATTTGAGACGTTGCGATTTCCTAATCACAAAGCCTGCGATGTGGACGTGATATTACTCTGTTCCAGAGCATATGCATGACTGTCAGCCTTGAGTTGCAGTCTTACTTGCCCTGGGCAAGAGTGAGTGCATCTCCATTCTCCCCAATCAGCTGCTCTAGCCAACTGCGTAAACACCCACCATTAATTTAAAAAAAAAAAAAAACGGAAAACGGGACAGGAGAGAGACAGAGTGGGATTATGGCGTCTACTGGGTCAGATCGATAGTTAGGCAAATTAAAACTAAAGAATACCGTATGCAACTTAAGCTTCGAAATGACAGACGACGAACAAAAAATGCAATTTGCACAGCGCATATCAAAAGCTCCCGGTATCGGTTCTGTTTTCAGTTCTGGAGAATAAAAGATACATTCTTAGATGTTTTTGTTAGTACGTGAACGTTATCTTACACATTTTATCTCCCCAACAGATTCATTTGAAATAAGTTTATAATGCATGTTGGCTATTCCCAATTCAGAAGAGCGCACACACAGCCTGTGTCTGTGAATGCTTCTCATACTCGCCCCTCTCTGCCCCACGCGGCGCGAATCCCGCGTCACGGACGAGCCATTAATGCTTGCCGCACTCACGCAGCCTGTCTCGTAATGTTCGTTTATACTCGCACCCGGCTCCGCACCGCAAGTCTTTACGTGCGCACCTGGCAGTATGGATGAGGCTTGACGCACGCGCAACCTGTGTCGACTCGCGCCTGGCTCCGCGCTTAAAATGAATATAAATTCAGTCTAACTGCTTGCTAATTTCACTTGGATGAAATTAAGCATTCAGCACATTTTCCATTTGCTCTGGGGGATGGGATGTAATCTGGCAGATGACAATTGTTTCCTATTGGAATAATGCCCAAAACAAAAAGGAATTTTGTAATGGTTTAATGGAAACTATAAGAATTTCTGTGATGGTTTCTATTGTTTTTTTCTCCAGGGTAATGATACCCATACTGTGCTGCACATTATTGACAATATTGAGCTGAAGCTTGACTTTGCAAATTTAAAATCGCAAATCAAATCGCAATCGCAATATCAGTCAACAAAATCGCAATTTGATATTTTCCCCCAAATCGCACAGCCCTACACCAAAATGCACCAAAACTTGAACAAAATTTAGCTAGGTGCAGCATTAAAAACAGTATCCAAACAGCCAGGAATTCTGGGAGTTGTGTTTGACTCAAAGCACATCATGAAGACCCAGTCATGAGGATTGGCATACACCATCAGGCAGAGCGCCATAATCCCACCCTGTCTCTCTCCCGTCCCGTCTTCCGTTTTCCGTTTTTTTATTTTTTTTTTTTAATTAATGGTGGGTGTTTACGCAGTTGGCGAGTGCATGCCACAACTCTCTTTGACGCACTTCACTGGCTACCAGTTGCTGCCTGCATACATTTTAGAAATGCTGTAGTACTCCTTATTTGTATGTAGATTTGGATACAAGTATGATCTAAATGAATAAATGAAAATATAATTCAACAAAGCTTACTACAACATATGTTTATTGCAGATTACGACAGAGGCGTTCTAGTTAAGGGTGCGCCGATCCAATACTCAGTATCGGTATTGCTCCGATACTGGCATTTTCTGCCGGATCGGGTATCGGTCAGATGAGACAATCCAAATCCGTTATTCTGCGTATACTATCCTGTGTTATTGTTAAGCCCCACGAAAGGCACAAAACCATTATAAAGCACCATAAAGTTTTCGAGCACTATATTCTAAGTGTTCTGAGACCGTTTCATAGTTTAATGTGAGGTACAGATGAATACTTAAGTCGTTAAATTCAAGTTCACGTAAACTCTTCTCTCAGACGTCTGTCATCCTCCATTCAGTGATCAAACTGTGCGTTGCGTTCGGTTACGACAGTCAAGATGATGAAACTCTCTCTAAAGCCCTATTCGGACGGTAATTGTTTCTCATGTGGACATCGGTAAAAATATATTTGCAAGGCACCTCAGTAATAAAACGTATGCATTCGGATAGCGATTTTTGCTGCTCATGTGGTCAGTTGCATGATTGTCTGCTGTGAATAAAATGGCATATGCTTATAATAATGAGAATAAATTCATATTTAATGTAATAATAATAATACCATATGTATCATTTGATTATTTAAATCTCCTGTTTAAAAATAGAAAGACAGAGACTATATAGATGAATGGTTTTGTCTTGCATATTTAAAATGGGGAATTTAGCGAAAATAATAATTCAGCATTTTATTTACATAAAGTAAGCATGAAGCTGCTTGATTTATATTTTTAATGTAATAATATATAATAGGCTACATATTTTAAAATGGTATTGCTCACCTGTTGCTGCCAGAATAACGGCCCATTTTAAATGTAATGTGCTTTATTTCTCTTTCTCCTTTTTGTTCTCAACATCTTCCAGCCGCTGTGGTGAAGCGGTGATTAACTATTGTTCTTAAATACTTTCCAACATTTCCGTAATAAATGTAGGCTATATCTTTAAAATGTGTGCAAATTACTGCGAAGCTCAACTCCTATCATACAGTGCTCTGCAGTGGACAAAAAGATTTAAACAATGAATTTTGTAGTGATTTCTTTTTGTAAACTCAAAGATGTGGATTCGGGTGGCAATTAAATCACCACACGACCTTAGTGTTTGTCAAAAACAGTAGGTAATTCAGCCAGAGATTTTTACATGGGTGGTCGGAGAAAAACACAGACATTCTGGATTCGGACGGCAATAAAGTCACCGACTACCCCCTGCAAATGGTGAAAATCCCTTACGTCCCCCTAAGAAACAATTACCGTCCGAATAAGGCTTAAGATGATACTATGTTCCTATTATTATACTTGATATGTAAATAAAGATCAGTGATTTTGCATAAAAGCACTTTATCTTGCTGGAGTTTAGTGCTGTTTCTAAAGCATGTTACTCTCTACCAGGTGTCCTGTTAGAGATCACAACACCGGAGTTGAGAGCACTATGAATTGTTTTCCATGCGCACAGTAACTGCCATTTTAAAAATGTTAAAAGAAAAGGCTCAAACTATTGCACAGATATAACACACTACGCATCAAAATCCTCTTCCCTTTGTGCTTTGAACTTTTCTATGCGCAGCACTGCGCGCTGTGACTCCCGTGTTGCTTCAAGCACATCACTCTGCGCACGGGATTGCGCAGAAGCGCTTTGTGCCGCTCCGTATAGTAGTCTTTTATTTTATAATACTTTTGCGCAATGAAAGATGATTAATAGCCTTTCTTGTTGTCTTATATGTTGCTGCCTCATTACTGTGCTATACATTTGAAAGAAATGTATTTTAATTGTACAGTATATTAATTAATATATAAATATATTACTTGTTTTTCATGAATGTATTTTACAACAATACAAATAGCAATGGTTTAACATTTTACCAGATTTAGCCCTACACTTATTCACTTTTATTTGTTCCCCACTAAATAATGTTTTTTTTTCACTAAATGTTTAGATTTTATAAAATTATTGTGCACTCATGATTTTTTTCTAGAGTAACTTTTGTTGCTGAATTATTCACTAACCTAGTTTATAGTACGGGTGGGGGGAAAAATCGATACAGCATAGTATCGCGATATTTTCCGCGGCAATACTGTATCGATACACGGACGCCAAGTATCTATCTTTTATTATACTATTTGTATATGTACCACTCATGCTCATCGGAAAAGCAAAGTCCGCTCAAATAACGCGCTGACAGGAAATTTCTATGCAGTATAGCTAGGCCTACTTGTTTCGGTTTGCAGTAGCGCTACTGTGCTGTAACATGGTGTAGGCTAGTTCAGCTGTACTGGGCAACGCTGGTAAAATAATGCTACCTTCAGTGACGCTATGCTCTGCTCATATGCTCTGATAATAATAGCTTTGTAGGACTATACATTATTTGGATAATTAGTCAAAAAACAACAACAACAACTTATATCTGATTCTGTTACATAGAAGTGAATAAAAATAATATATTGATATTTAATATTAAGGTAACACTTTTCAATAAGGTTACATTAGTTAATGTATTAACTATCATGAACAATACATTTATTACAGTATTTATTCATCTTTCTTAATGTTAGTTAATGAGAATACAGTTATTCACTGTTAGTTCATGTTAATTCAGAGAGCATTAACTGTTAACAAGCACAACTGTTGATTTTAATAATGCATTAGTAAATGTTGAAATTAACATGAACTAAGATTAGTAAATGCTGAAGAACTATTGTTCATTCTTCGTTCATTAACTAAAGTAGTTAATGAATGAACCTTATTGTAAAGTGTTACCAATATTAATATAAATTCTGTCCAGTTTTATTGAGTTACATTCAGTAAAAGTGTGGTTATTTTATTGGCTTGTGTTTTTTAAAATTCAGTATCATTAAAATTGAGTTAAATTTAAATTTAAAATTACTTTATATTATTTAATAAAATAATAAATAATCATTACAAAGCATTTTCGGTTTCGGTTTTCGGCCAAGTGCATCCAGAATTTTCGGTTTCCATTTTGGCCCAGCATTTTAATTTCGGTGCATCCCTAGATGTAAAACTACATGTTTTATTTAATTTAATTTAAAAGTAATTTACTTTCAAATGCCCTAATTGCTGAAGGGTCTGCACAACTTTTTAGTACAATTTCAAGTTGCACTGTTCAAAATACCTGTAGTAGCACAGCAATGCATACCTGTTTACATTTAATTAAGGTGAACTAGATTAGACTGTAATACAAATAGTTGAGTTTGCCAGGTGCATACAACATTTATGACAGGTTTTCATGAAAGTGTTGGTCAGTTTGTCTGCTTGACAATCACATTTTGCACTGCAACAATAAAACTGAAGTGAGAAACAAACTGAGAAATGTTTCTTTTTAGTTAAAACAGATGTTGTCAAAAGTTTTCCTATGGGGACATAATTTGAAGTTGGAAAAAGGTAATAAATTGCAAAATAATCGCAACATTTAAAATCTCAATAAAATTGTATTGTGACACAAGTATCATGATAATATCGCATCGTAAGGCCTCTGGTGATTCCCACCTCTAGTTTATAGTAGTATTTTTGTCATAGATCATGTTTATATATTTATTCATTTGTTGTTTTTCTTTACAATGAAACTGTCTATATGTAGTAGATTGTGTTTTACACACAAAAGAGTGATGATCAGGTCAACACATTGAAGTATAGAAATTCTACAATGATTTAAAAAAAATAATAATTGCGCTGGTATCATATCGGCCGATACTCAGAATTTCTGGTATCGGCTCGGTACTGAAAAAGTGGTATCGAGCCAGCCCTAGTTCTAGTTTTATGATGCAACCATCCACACTGGAGGTGAGCAAGTGTTGACTATTTGAAAATAACAGGCCCATGAATCAGATCAAATCAGCTGACATATCAAAGCATATATTGCATCCACTATCTAGAAATCCTTTTGCTCCTACCGGTACTTGGGCTGAATCCATGAAGCGCAGGCCAAAGTAATCCTTCTCGACAATATCCAGGTGATACATGATCTGTTCAAACAGCTCTGCACCTTTGGCTTTTTTCTGGAGAGAGAGCGAGAGAGAGAGCATGATTTAAATCCTAACAGTATAGTGCCTTGCATGCTTACCTTTAAACTGATATTAACAATGTAATATTAAGCAAACTTCATTTTTGTTTATAACTAAGTATGTGTACTGGAACTACATGTACTGGCTTGCAATAGCACTGATACAGCAGGTCAGTGGATAAGGTCTTGGCCAAGTAGGCCAATCTAACATTGACTAAAACATCGTTTTAGCTCTACTGACCATTTCCCTGTTCCAAACATCTAAAGCAAAAACTTCAGTTCTTTGGAATCTAGTTCAAAAGGTCTTTTCCATTTAAATATAAACACTCCATCCGTCTATGAGATATAAAGTGTAATATTAATGTACAAAATTCCAACTTCCAAACTGCAGGAAGAGCTCTCCTGTCTTTCTCTGTCTGAATAAGCCTCAACAGCTCAAACTATTAACTTCAATTGTGTCTGATTTCAAACGATAGTGCATCCTGTCAAGCCAGTGAGTCACAGTCTAGCTTCTCAATGGAAGATGCCCCTGACCTATGACCACCAAAGACATAAACAAAAAGAAGAATATTCAAACATTTCGCAAGGTTGGTTTTAAGTAGGGGTGCTCCGATCAGGATTTTTGAGGCCGATCACCAAATGCAGTATCTGCCAATACCGATCACCGATACCGATCTTTTAAAACCTTCTTTTAATCATTTATAACTATTTATTGTGATACTCCAATCAGAATTTTTAGACATTTATTCAGGACCTGAATTTCATTTTTGAAAATGGGGGGTCACTCTTGTGAGAGGGGAAGCAGCTTTCACACAGGAGTCCATTACTGATCCGTGGCTGTTTACCACAAACACAACATTTATCCATTAGTTTGATTTCAAATCCAAACATTGTCACTGAAAATGCTTTTTCAGCATTGCACAAATATTACAGTATCTTTCACAGACACGTTTAAACAAAATAAATATAAGCAACACATTATTCAATGCTTTTTATTTTTGCATTTACTTAGATTTATATATTAAGTTGTATATATCAAGCAAGTGGCAAAACATTTAAACTTACTTTTCTTACGTTATCACAAACTTACCATTGACAGAAATAGTCAGCTGAGCTCTACTGCCTTTTCTTGTGCATTTAAATCTTTATTACAAGCAATCCTGCAGTTCATAAAGAACTTTGTTTTCCTACCTGCCAACTATTATTGCCTATTATTGTTTATCAAAAAGTGCTCTTTCCCTTTAAACCTAGCCAAAAAGCCATATGTGCTGACTGTGAAACACAGTAAACTTTAATAATATGCATTGATGGTGTAATTACTACATTTTCGTGTCAATCCATGTTTATACTGCAAACAATGCGCTGTTACTTTAATTCAGCGCTTGCAGCGCAGCAATAGACTCGGTGAGGAAACTATATATCTCTGCACTGCTGCAGATGCACCGCTCCTAGAACGCACTTCACTTTATAAACTTTAGTGACAATGTGACACTGCCTCGTTTGTGCAAGTGACAATTCCTGTGTCAACTGTGCAGCTCGCTTATAAGCAATGTGGTGATTTGAAGCCATTTCAAAAGCTTGAGTACCTCACCTTCAGCATTATAATCATTTCACCCGCGCCGGACAGAGACGGTTCCGCTGCATGTCATGCCAAACCTCTCACTGCAGCCGTCATCAGCTTGAGATTGTTTTTTTGAGATCGGCCTTTTTAGAGACCGCCGATCAAACATCCCAACGTGATTATCGGCCGATAGTGATCGGTAGCCGATCAATCGGCACACCCCTAGTTTTAAGCAAGTGATAAACATTCCTACTAGAAGCGATTAACAAAGGGACCATTTCATGGACTGTCTGATGTAAATCAAAGTGAGTTTCATTTTTTTGTTTTCAGAAGATCCAAGATAAACAAACCCCTTTAATCTTTAGCATACTTTATTTAAATATACTTTTTTTTTTTACTTAAAAGTAGTAGTTTATGGACAGCAACATCCATGCTAGCATCTTCATGTGTGAAACAAAGAGCGCTGACACACAAGTGTCTCACCCAACTGTTGCACTCAGAGTTGGGAAGGCCGTTTTAGCCGTAGCCCAGGCGAACAGCACCGGATGCTCACGCAGGCCCCAGTGAGTTGGCATAGTTTACAAAGCATCCCAGCGAGCTCCAAGAATGCAGACAAAGAGTCCATTGTGTGCTTGAGTGAACCTCAGGCTCAGGACTCACATTGTTCAGCTGAAGTTTTACAGGCTGCTAGGCCAACATACAGCCTTTGGAGGCGCAGTACTTCCTCAGTGTGCTTCCAGCAAGCAGGACAGAAAGTAACACTTGGTTTTATTGCTTGTTCTAAACCTGTATCTACCACCCTCTCTCAGGTATTACATGTTAATATATTTTAAAGGTGACCTATTTTGCAAAAATGTTTGAACACAGTTGTGTGGCCACAGTGTGTGAAAACAACCAGCCTACAATGGTAAAAATCCACTAACTCATTTTTTTTATAATCCTAATAAATCAAACAGTCTCTCCAAATCAGCGGTTCCAGATTTCTCCCTATATACAAGTCATACTAGGGAAAGTCCAGCCCATTTGTGACGCTCTCTGACCTATTAGCACTAGGGATGCACCGATATGAAAATATTCGGAAATTTTGTCCGAAACCGATAACCGATTACTCTTTATTTTTGAAAGCCGATAACCGATATGTTGGCCGATAAATCTATATCCAAATTATATACTTTTTGAGAGCCTGATTACAAAAAAGGTATCATCATTAAAAGCCACATCCCAAACACTTCAACATAAGCAGCCTAGTTTGAACGGTGTACGTTTTAAAAATATTTTTACTCTCCCATTACCAAATTTAGTCATAAAAAAGTCTTACAAATAAATAAAATAATGCATAAATAATGCAAACAAGTCACTGGACATCATTACACGTGTAAAGAATCAAAATGAATGCGCCACAGATCAATAAAACAGAATAGCCTCTGCACGGACAATAATTAAATGATTTTAATTACTAAACCATACTGTTGATGAAAATAATAAGAGAACAATACAAGTGGTTGTTGTTATTAATAATATATCAATGATTGTGAAAAAGTAACAAATTAATGCCACTGTTTTAAA